CGGATAGAATAATAGCAATCTAGTTGAATTGCCTCATTTAGCTTAGCTATCTTGCTTATGAAGCTAAACCTGTGACTCAAGAACATGGCATTAAACACCAGGGACAGTCATTTCACTGATGGCCCAGTTCTTCATTCTTCACTCACCTTTGCTATGCCCCACTCCTTGACACTAAGCTCAGCCATGTGACTTCCTTTGGCCAATGGGATGTTAGCTAAATGGAATGCAAACAGAGGTTTGAAAAGTGCCTGCACATTGAGACTTGCTCTTCTGTTTCTCTTTCTCTTCCACCAAAACCGTGAGTACGTGCCTGTCCTAACTTGCTGGAGGAGAAGATGCATGGAGCACAGCCGCAGTTCCTCATCCCAGCCAAGGCTATTCTAACTAGCTGACAGCTAGCCAACTCCAAGAGTGAGTTCAGCCAGGATCAACCAGCTGTCCTGAAACTGACTGCAGATGCATAAGCAAGCACAGCCAAGATCAGCAGAACTTCCTCCCTGACCTATACATTGGCACTATTGGGTTTTAGAGGATTTGGTATGTAGCATTATTATAGCAATAACTAACTATACTCTCATAAAGTAATAAAAATTAATTACCAGCAAAACAAATATTGAAATGCAAACACAATTCTTCTTTATTGAAATAGGAAGTATTTTAATTAAATTATTTGATTTCTCTACAACTGCAGCATGCCTTGCCTCCAACCACATCCATGTCCCTGGGTTGAGCAGACCGGGTAGGATGCACTCAGAGAAGACAAGCAAAGGACAACAGCATGCTCAGCACCAAACTGCCAGATGTCACCTTCCTGGCACTCCTCGAGGGCCAATATTTAACATGCACATCATCCAGGATTGAGAGCACAGCCTCCATGGTCTCCTCACAGGTGGGCTGGACCTGAGCTTCCGGCAGAATAAACCCAAATGTACCATTGTCCCTCAGCTCAAACGTGAATGAGAAGGGGATCCCAATGTCTCGTGCCCAGTCTCTTGAAGACCCTGATGTGGCATCTACAAGTGAAACATGAAGGAAAAGATAGAAATCATACTTTCAAAGGACAGATTCCTATAGCCATTTCAGGGAATAAAGGTTCCATCAGTAAAATAAAGAAACTCTTTCAGATGATGGTCTCAGGGACAGCTGTCTTCTTCCTGTCCTTGACAGTAAGTAAACCCTCTGTGGGCAGGGAGCACATCTTATGCAGCCTCTCTGCCCCCACAGTACCTAGCACTGTGTCTGGCACACACAGAGGTTTGGTTCAAGTTTCTCAGCTGAATCAAAGACTAGGGAAGATAATAATGCAAGGCAAGACTGACCTGACTCATATAAAGGAACAAAAACAAAACGACCCACAGGGAAAATATTACCTAGGTGGGCTCACGAAGGGTGGAGGAGGTAGAGGTTGGGGCTGGGGAAAGCAGTGCATTCTCCTTTCGACTGAATTCTTTCCTTTTAGATCCTTTCTCCAGGCCCCACCCTGCCCTGCTTTCTTAGCCTGATGGGTCCTCTAGGAACTGAATCAACTGACCAAGGGTCAGTGGACAGTGTCCTTCCTGTTAACTCTTGTGCCTTCTAACTTGCCAGCTCTTTTTAACTGAAGCCAGGGGAAGTTCTGGTCTGAGCCAGTGCATTAAGTTTTTCGCCTTTAGCTCACACCTTATCCCTAGAGAGTATAATTCTGGATTTGTACAGACTGCCTTTTATCATTGGTCATTTTGATTTGTACAACTCCCTGGTGATCTCAGGAACTCTTCTGTTCCTCTCCTGCCCACCTCACCACCAAAGTCCACTGACTTCTTTTGTGCCTTAGATACTATTGAAGAGGAAAAAAAAAAAAAGATACTTACATAAAATATCTGCACTTGATCCAACTCTATAATTGGTTCCATACTTTGCTTTCAATGCATTTGCTGCCTTCTGTCCAACTTGAATCTGTAGGTGGGAAATGTAGAGACAGATATCTGGTGTTAAAAATAAATTCAACAATCCAAGGTTTGGTATTTTGTCCCAATCCATCTCCAGAGATTTAGAGCATCTTTCCAACTTCCCATTGGACATCTACATCTAGGTAGCCTGCTGGTACCTCAGCTTCAACACACTCAAATCCAATGTCATCATCTCTCCCACTAATCTCCCACTAATAAGGCTGTTCTAACTTTCATATTATTTCTGGCCTTGCATGCTCTCCCAAATGTGCTTGTAAAATTCTGCAGGTGTCTTTGATATTCCTTCTCTCAAACAGTGACCAAGTTGCATTTCCAGGGTCATCACCCTGTTTCGGACTCATTACCTCTGAATCAGTCTGTTGCATCTTCTAATGAGTTTCCCTTCCTCTTACCAATCCTTGTTCCATTGATCCCACCTGGCCTCCAGATGCAGTTTTGTAGCACAGAGAGAGCTATGATCACAGTCCTACAGAAAAGCCTTCAGTGACTCCTGGTTGCTCACTGAATTAAGTACAAGCTTCTCTTCCCTTATTTTTTGAGATCCTCTGCACTATGACCCCAACTCACCTTTCCAACACCATATTCTGTACATCCACCCTAGACTATAGTCAAACTCAAGTTTTCCCACTGTTGTTCAGACATATCCCACATTCCTCAGCCTCTCCAACTTTCCTCAGGGTGTTTCCTCTACCCGGGATCCCTACCTCTTTTCTCTACCTGTTGAGATTCTACCCAACCTCAAAGGGCTTTCTCAAATGCCAACTTCTCCATCAGGCCCTGCCTGACCACCCCAACTGGATTCTCTCTCTCCCCACTTGACTCTCCCACAGACCTTTGTTCATGACTCTCTAAAAGAGTCCCCTTATTTTTCCTTATAGGTGCTTGATACTTACCTCTCATAGATTCACAGAATCTCAGAGCTGGAAGTCACACGTGTCCCCACACCCCCCACCACATCCCCTCACTACATGGGAAATCCCTCAGAACTAGATCATTGCTAAGGTCTCTGCCTTGCTCTCAGCAGACCCTTTCCTGAGATCGGGGTCACTACTTAAAACCCAAGTCTGTTGACTGTGCTCATTGATCTAATAAATCTTGCATAGGTCTGTCAAGAGACCCTCTAAGTATTCCCCATCCTAGATTCCCCAGTACTATATCCTACCCCCTAGATGGTATGTCCCACTCCAACACCAGCAAAACCCCCTTGCCACTCCCTGCCCGGGCTGTCATCCACACTGCTTTACCTCTGAGGACAGCCTGGCTGTGCTTGCAGCTGCATCAACTCCCCTGACTCCTGACCTGTGATGGGCCAAGTTTCAGATCCTGTCTCCCCCTTCCTGGCTCTGCACTGTCCAGCTGACTCCTAAGATGTCACAGGGTGGTGCTTGGGTAGGGTGGGGACAGGCCCAGTGAAATTCAAAAGAAACAACAGAAAAGGCAAGACACGGTGTGTGGGTGTAGGGATCCTATGTGGCAGTTGTGGGCAGCCTTCTTAAGGCATTTGGGACTTTCTGTGTGTGGCTAAGATAAAGGAAAAAACATGCAGTTGAACATATTTGGAAGCTTTTTTCTTCTCTCCACATACTACCAAGAATTTTATCTTTGGCCATTCACCTTTTCTCTCTCTTCCTGAAAAGAGATTCTGAGTCTACCTCAGTTCATGCATTTGTGTTGTCCAGAATTCAGATAGTGGACAGGAAAGGCCAAAGAAGCACAAGGTATAAAGCTTGTCTAATTGTTTGCAGTGGGAAGAGGTACAAAAGCTGTCTGTAGAAAGAAAAGGAAGTTATGAGAGAGGTGACAGTCAGAAAGGAGATTTCTTTTCTGGAGAAAGAAATTCTGGTGGAAATAGGAGTAAGAGGTGGAAGATTTCAGGGTAGCTGCTATGTGTGATGATGTAGAGATGAGGCCTGGGCAAAGCTTTGCTGAGATTCACCAACTACACTCCCTTTTGAAGTTCTTTGAGTCTCTAGTAGAGATACAAACTGTTTTTAATTGTTTTAAATTCCTATGTGTTTCTGTGTTTCTTTGAATGAAACTCCATGCTAACCGCACCACTGGGGCCTTAACATTTATTTGGGATATGTGGATCGTCCCAGGCTACACTTGCCATCCACATAGCTCCTCGCTTTTTTCTTTTCATTTCTGCAATTCTTTCTTCTTCCCATAGCCAGCCTTTACTTGCTTTATTTTCTATAGTTCTCTTCTCTCAACTCCTGTATGTGGGGTGGGAAACAGTCTTCCCAGTTTCCCCTTCTTTGTTGACAAAAGGACTTTTGAATTTTATTTTTTTAACAATTCCGCAAGCAATGACTATGGGGAAGTAGATAGGAGTAAGAAATAGACATGAGAAGTGTGCAGTTGTAATCTGTAGCTTATAGATTTGGTCTTGTCTGAGAAGATGAAATGGAAATCCCCTAGACTTCCGACTCCATTTCCATCTGTGGGGGTGGAACTCCTGACTGCACTTTTCTCTCCTTCTGGCACTATATTGCAAGGCCATGTAGAGCCAATTTCTCTGCAGCCCTTTTTCTCAGCTTAAAGGTACTTCCTAGTAAAAGTAATAAAAGCTCCTTTGCCAGTAGTACATAACATACATTGCTAAAAACCTCTAGCCCACTTAGTAACTCCTTCTCCGGGCCCAGAGAATTTCCTACAGGCATATATTCACAGGCAGGCACATGACAACATTGGTTAAGGCCTTGGCATGTTGGGGGCTGGGGACAGCTTGAGATAGAGCACAGAGGTTGAAATGGAAAGAGTTCAAATGGAAAAAAAATGTAAGCACGTAAAACATTAGAATTCTTATAGCCATTCTAATTTCCAGAGCAGTTTAGAAAGGGGCTATATATAGTCATGTTTCTCCTACACACTGATTGCCAAGTTGTCTATCATGCCATATAATATTTACCATGATTTCTATAGATTTTTTGTTTTATAAATATATAGAGATTAATTACTAGTCTCTGCTGGTTGTAAATAGTACTAGAAATGGAACTCTCCTTGGAGCAGTTGGCTTGATTCTATATCTTTGAGCACTCTATCTAAGCTTATCCCCCAAGAACCTAGAAACACTGCTAAGTAGCTTCAATAAGGCAGACTCTTGTTAGCAAAATTTTCACGCTTTTTATTGAAAAGGCTTGGAGATGACTACTTATGAGAACTCTTCAGCACCTGGGACTGTAAGAGATACTGAATTGAAGGCATTATTCTCAATGTGATTTACCAATTTCTGCATATAGTACTGAGGAGTTGCCAGGAATTCCCTTCTCAGAGTCATCATCCAGTAGTGGCCATGTCATTGCCCAAGGCCTCTCCTGACTTCTTGTTCCCCCTAGCCTGTGGCCACAGGGCTCTAACCAAACAGCCTATCAACAGCACAAGACACTCCAACCTTTGAATACAAACCTTACAAAATGGTCATGTAGTATCTATTTTCCTGAACCAATGAGAGAATGAAGTACCCAAGACAAACATTGGAGTGTACCAGCCTCTCTTTTTCTGCTAGTGGAAAACCCCCTTCCATCAAATATCTACGATGGTCTGTCTTTGGAAATTCACTTGTGTTTGTCACAGATTCCTTTAAGCAGAAAGTGGAAATCTCAACAAATATCACAGAAACTGGGGATATTCTGGGCTTCCTGACCGAAATCTCTATTTCTATAGATTTCTTTATTGCAGAAATAGAACTTCCAGGGCTCACAAAGGAGGAGGAAACAGCACATAGCTGACTGGGAATCTAAGTTGATAATGGCTCCTAGAAGTTGCTAACCCTTTCTGAGCAGACAGAGACAGTGGGAGGTAGTAGGTTCATGAGTGTGGCCTCTGGAGTTCAAAGACATGAGTTTCAGCCTGGACTCCACCACTTCCTGTCTGTAGGGTTCCGGAAATAAAGTTAACTCAAGGTTGCAATTTCCGTGTCTCCAAAATGAGCTTAATATATTGTCATGAGGGTCAAATGAGATAAAGGCTGTAAAATCCCTTTGTAAATTGTAAAGATTCAAGCGAATGTTAGTTATTTTCATATTTTGCAAAATGATCATTTAGTACAAGTATTCCTGGACCAAGAAAGGAAAAAATGATTGCAAGAAAAGTATTTGCGTGGTGTTGGGTATTTTTGACTAGTGGGGAAAGCGCTCCCCTCCAGCAAAGATCTACGGTGGCTTTTCTTTTAGCATCCAAACCTTGTGTTTTGTGGGTCATGTTCCAGTGGGAGAGGGACAGGTGGTGTAACCTAACCACGAGGTCTCTGTGGTATTAAGAACAGAGCGATCTTAACCCAAACCATCCCAGAATTGCTATAATGAGGAGTATGTTTAAAAAAACAAACAGATAAACAGAAAATAACAAGTGTTGACCAGAATGCCAAGAAATTGAAACTCTTGCACACAGTTGATGGAAATATAAAATGGGCAGCCTCTATGGAAAACAGTATGGTGGTTCCTCAAAAATTAAAAATAGAATTACTGCATCATCCAGCAATTACACTTTGGATATATATCCCAAGAATTGAAAGCAAAATCTAAAGAGATCTTTGTACACTCATATTCACAGCAGTATTATTAACAACAACTAAAAGATCAAAGCCAAGTGTGCACTGATGGATGGATGGATGGATAGGATAAACAAAATGTGATATATACATACAATGAAGTATTATTTGGTCTTGAAAAAGGAAGGAAATTCTGACACACCTTACAACATGGAGGAACCTTAAGGACATTCTGTTAAGTGAAATAAACTAGTCATAAAAAGACAAATACTATATAATTCCTCCTTGGGTGTCTAGAGTAGTTAAACTCACTGAAATAGAAAGGAGAAGACTGGTTGCCAGGAACTGGCATAGGGGAAGTTGTTGTTTAATGGGTATAGTTTCAATTACGCAAGATGAAAAAGTTCTGGCGATTGCTTGCACAATAATGTGAATATAGTTAACACTACAGAACTGTATACTTAAAATGGTTAAGATGGTAAATTTTATGTTATATTCATTTTACTACAATTAAAAATTGAAAAAAAAATAAAAAAGAAAAAGAAAACAAATACTACAATTTGCAATTCTAAATTTACCCTCCGTTTGACTTGTGTCTATTGTCCTTTGGCTCACAAAAGGGCAGAGAGCCCAGTCCTTTTCAGCAATTCTGCCCACTGGTGCTTGGGTAAACACAGCTTCAGAGAAGGACCCAGATAAGACAAAACACAGTTTCCCTGCCCCAGCTTGCATTTCACTAGCACTTCCCCTTACAAATAATCCTAGGCAAATACTGGAGGAAGAGTTTAGAAGAAAATAGAGCATTGTGTTTAGCAGAGAAGAGAGCAGATATTATTTAGCCATGTTATTTTAGATATGCCATATTCCACTAACAGCTGGCAAGTTCTTTAAAGCACAGTTCAAAGCTGTAATTGCTGAACGGAGCTGCAAGAGAATTTCCAGAAATGAAAGCACATTTCTGCAGATTATTACCATAATCATCTCATTTATATTATAGATGAATACCTAAGATGTCTCCCAACTTGACACTTTATGAAACAGGTAGTTAATTAATGTAGGTAAAGCAGCGTTTAACCTGAAGCCTTCCCAGCAGGCGTCTGGCAAGGTGCAAAAGCAGGAAAAAGAAAATAAAGATGAGCAGAGAGAACAAAAGTGGGGCTGGAGCCCAAAGCTTGGAAATGGAAATCAGAAAAAGGAAGACAGAGGTCCTACCATGTCCTACTATAAGGCATTGTGGACTTACCAGTTCTTCGTGGTTACTTGATTTATTTTGAGTATACCCATAAGGTGTGAGAATTAACTGCCCGTAAGAGTGCATAGTCAGGAAGCACAAAATGTTGTCCTTCTTGCTCTCTACAAAGCTGGAGACAGCTTTAGTCTCTGGTTCAGACACTGGTCCTGTCCCACAGAATGTTAAATCTTGGCAGTTTGTAGATGCACCAACACCTGGAACATATAGGAAACCACAAAGATGGTTTCATGATCTCAGTTTAGAAATGACGGAGGGCCAAAAGTCATCCTTACTCAGGGCATCTGTGGGGGAAATCAGGGCTTGCCCTTGGTTGTCTAAGTCCTGGCTAAATCAATCACTGTTAGGATAGTCATTCTAGAAGGAACTCAGAAAGGCAAGAAGGCTGATGTTAAGATTTAGAAGCAAATTCCACACTTGCATGGCCCAGTAAAGAAGATGCAAAATGAAATGACATTTCAACAATCTTTTACTTAAACCTATGGCGGGCCCTGAAACAAATAGCTGGGAACCAGTTCTTGGGTTCCTAGGTTTGAGTCTCATTAGAGTTACTTGGCAAGGACATAAATAGCCTGTCTTCCTCATTAATAATAATAATGATTAACAGCTGAGCACCTCTTACATGCTAGGTACTGTGCCCAGCCCCTCCTGTGTAGCATCGCATTTAACCACAATAACCTACTGATAAGGAGGGATTATTGTGACTCACATTTTACATAAGAGAAAACTAAAGCAGAAAGATGAAGCAATTTTTTCCAAGACCACACAGCTGCCAAGTCTCAATGTTAACCCCTACCGTCTGGTTAATGGCAATACTCTTAACCACTCCTGCCTCTTTATTTGCTTCCAATCCATTGGGCATTTTGAGATTCAGAAACATGAAAATGCCATAAAAAGAAGAAAATGTTTGCTTTGTTTACTGCCCACCCCCTGCTGTAAAATAATCTGCAAGGATGATTTTCTGATTTTTGTTTTCTTTATGATAATACATATATTTAAAAACAAAGGGATGGACTTGAACTATATTCACACTGGTCAAGGTCTACTTTGTCCTTGCATAACCAACCTCACTTGAAAAGAGCCCTGCACTTGAGTGTTGATGGCTCTCACTATCTAGATAATATCATCCCTTTAAAGGGAATAAAACTGGTCAGGAAGCCTGGAAAGCTGTATAAAATTAGATGTTTATTTTCCAAAATTATACCTTTAGTAATTTGCCTCTTTTCTTGCTTCTCAGCTCTATTTATTTTTTCATCATTTCATCCACTAAAAATGTACTTACTACACCAAGATACATTGAAATTTCGATTGAGATCCGACCCAAAACATGTGCCATTATCATGGGATGAGCGGGATTTCCTCCAAAGACGATCCTGTAACAGAGGAACAGAGGGCTGTTGCCATTCTAAGGTTCCCTAAATCACAGTGTTAGTGATGATAGGTGGTCCTTGAACACGAGAAATGTTTCCTAGGATTATCTGGAAGAATGTGCCTTTAACATTCTCAATGTTAAGTCATAATTTGTGTGTGTAATGTTTAGTCCCGCAGATGGGGTAGCAAATCCCAATAACAGGAACATCTGTACAACCCAAAGTGTACATATGTGTACACGGTCCAACTGGGGAGGCGGCGTGGCCTTTTCCTCACCAACAGACTCACAGTGTCTGCGGACATGATCTGCTTACTCAGGGAACACTCCAGAGGCATTTTTTACGTCCACGTGATACAGGATGAAAGGGAAATAGCTTGACAGATGGAAAAGGCCATTCCAGGTGTATCAGATATGGTCTCTGCACATTTCTGGATGCCAGAGACTGATGAGTGGAGATGGGGATAATGACAAGTGTCACCAGACAAGCTCAGAGGGAGGACTTGATTCACACACCAGGCCCGAAAGGCTGTTTCAGAGAAAAGGGGCCCCTGCCGGGCCTTTGGGGGAGCGAAGGGAGAAGGGGAGCAAGGCATGCTCTCTAGCAACACGGGTTCTTATTTGTGGAGTGATACGCTTAGGAACACTTTAAAGAGAACGTTCCCTACTACATAAAAAACTTTTATGAAATATTTGCACATGTGTGAATGATCACACTGAAAAAATGTAGGCTAGTATCTCCCATAAATTCCGGGGGAAAAAAAGAAAAATGTAGGCTGGCCTTGTATTTGTACCTCATTCATTCCCCTCCTGCTTCAAATCCACTGACTTGAAGTGGATGCAGGTTGGTGTATGAATTTTTTTGTAATCAATGCAGTCCTAATTAGGTGGCAGGCAATCCACACACATTAAGAAGACAGAGGAAGAGAAAAGTTTAGTCAGACTGGAAAACTGGGAATATGTCAAAAACAAACAGGGAAAAAAACCTGAGCTGGACTTCAACTCTAAAAAGGCATTAGGCTTTTTCAGTCCTCAACTTGACTTAGATTGTTTGCTTAAAAAACATCAAGCAGATTTTTATCCCAAATGGGGTTTCGTTCTTTACATAGGTACAAAATATTTTTCTAGCCGGAATGGCTGAGGTTGAAAAATGAGTTGAGCTTTAGTTCAGGAACACATCCCAAGACCAAACTCAGTGTACTCACAGTCGTCCACGAGTAGATATAACCGTCTATGTTAAGAACTGGAAGCACATAGAAGTCTAGGTTCCTAAGGAACCCGCTTATCCTTGAGTTGTCTTTATAGTTTTGTAGAATCTGAAAATTAAAGAAACATTCAGAATGATTCTGGGGAAGTGTCTTTTCCCTCTTAATTTTCTACCAATTTTAACTTAATTCTAAGAGGTGACTGCACATGACCCCTCAGCCCCCAGCCCCTCCTCAGTTGTCTTACCTGGTATGGTGGTGTCGTGGTTCTCACACCTTCTCATGCATCACAATCACCTAGAGAACTTGTTAAAACACAGATTGCTCCACTCTGCTCTCCCTTGCCCCTGCCTAACTTCTCACCCCTCAACCCCTGCACATTTCTAATTCACCAGGTTTGAGGTGGAGCCCAAGAATTTGTATTTCTAGCAAGTTCCCAGTTGATATTGATGCTGTTGGTCTGGGGAACTACTCTTTGTGAGTTTTTTGTGTTTGGATTTCTAAAAAGAATGACCCAAAAAGTATCCTGTATTACTTTTAAAGGCTTCTTATTCTCTCAAGGGAGGGGTATGAGTAATACACACACATTCACTATGTTAGGTATTTTCCATATGCCAAATCTCTTAATCCACACAACAGAACCACAAAATAGTCATTTTATATTCCTTTTACAGATGAAAAACTAGGGGTCCTAGTGTTCGAAAATTTGCCCAATACTAGGCAGAGCCAGGATTCAAACTCATCTCTAACTCCCAGAGTGTATCTCCTTCTATTAATACATTTAGATATATTTACCCTCCAATAAAAATGATGTTGCATACACTAGAAAGGTATGAGAATATTAACTCAGTTATCAGTGAAGCTACTGACAATCCCATTTGATTTGAGGTGAAGGACTGGCTCAGAAAAGAGTGCATTGCTAACATGTGAAAGAAGCATGTTTTCTAAGTAACGAAGAAGTGACAGGTATTTTACGGGGGTGGTTTACAATGATGAGGAAGCTAAAGACACTTACTTCTTTCACAAACCATTGGCAAAAAGCTGGAGCAATCCATTCCCTGGCATGAATTCCACAGTCAATCCAAATGATCTTCTTGGGGTTGTTGGATGGTTGGCTGATCTGGAGGAGACATCGTGCTCTGTTACCGAACAGTCACTTATTATCGTAAGCCACTGAGCAAAGTTATCAGATTTTTTATTCCCCCAGAGGTCCCTTTCTTATTCCACTCTATGGTTTCAGGAAGGAGGCAAGGATGCTGGTGGAGACACCCACAAATGCCACCCTTGCCTCTGTTACTCTTGTTCTCCTGCCGGTTTCCTTGGTGGTGGTTCTCAGGACCATGCATGGCTCCCAATGGCACCTGCCCCAACAATGGTCTTCCCTATACCCTAAATTATTCCCTGACTATAAATAAAGACATTAAACCCTCCAAGCCAAGAGGCTAAATCTGTATAAACCTTATAAAACCTTTGCACATAAAGTTCACACAGAGTAGTAAAGTGCACGAGAGGTAATGTTCGAGAATCTAAAGTATTTAAAAATGAATCCTAATCTTTGCTTAAACTTCTTGAAACTTCAGACGGATCCAAATATGCAATCTCCTGCAACACTTACTAAATTCCCCTTCCCCTCAGAGACTGCCCCACTCCCAGCCAGCCCAATCTTCTTTCCTCTCTCCCCATTTGTTATTTTTGTACATCAGTGCAGCCTCACTCCAGCAAGAAAGATCCCTCCTCTTTCAGGGCAGTGGGGAGGTGGGAATTCATCCAGAAACTGTGGAATCTCTTTGGTGGAGAAGACACTGAATACACCCATGTTTGTAACAGCCACATCTGTTTTGAATTTGTAAATGGCCTAAACCAGTGCTGTTTGTTGAAAGCCATTGGCAGCTAGGCTGATGAAGGCTCTCTTCCTCTTTATGAAAAACTTACAAATTGAGATAAATATATGGCTGGATCTATCATCTTTAAGCAATTTTCTCCTTTAGCCTCATCTATTTTTCAAAGCTGCCAGGACAATTCCTAATCCACCTCTTACCTTAATTTTCTCTTACAATTACCCCTTTTATGAGTACATGTATGTTAATTACATGCTTATCTTTATTGCCCCTTTATTATGTCCTCATTCTGTTCTTTATAATATGCCCTGGGCAGAGGATGTGTAGTTGTCTTTTTGGCTGCTCTAGCTCAGAGGTTGGGGACCTGCCGAAAATCACATAGGCAAGCGCCCCATGCTTAATATGTCAACCAATCTCCCACAGGATCCCTGAGTAAATTCTATTTCAGAGCCAATATGATTTTTTGTAGTTGTAGATAACTCTCAACTCTCAAAGTTGGGGCTGTGCTTTGTAAATTAACACATCTGCACTAAGCACTAAGGAGGCAATGAACTGAGTAAAAAATGCTAGCTCCTAATGCCAGGCTACTTTGGCAGTGGTTCTTGAAGAGTAGTCCCAGACTAGCAGTGGCAACGTCACCTGGGAACTTGTTAGAAATGTACTGTGGTTCTAGAACTTGAGTGTGTGTCAGAATCACCCGAAAGAGGGCTCATTAAAACAGATTGCTGGGCTTCCCCCACTCCCTCCACCCCCACCCAGAGCTTCTGATTCTGTAGACCCCATAGGGCCTGAGAATGTGCATTTCTAATAAGACCCCAGGTGATGTGGATTCTTCTGATCCAAGGACCACCCCTTTGAGAACCACTGGTTGGTACACAGATTGTGAACACTGGCTATAAGTTAGGATCACCTGGGGAGCTTTCAAAGCATTCCTGGGCCCATCCTGGAACTATTAGTTCAAGTCTAACCTAATTATGTGGGGCCCAGGCATCAGGATGACTCAGTGGGTCCCCAGGTGATTTGAATGTGCAGCCAAGATTGAACACCACAGGTCCAGAACTGGAAGCCCAGAGGTCCTGGCCCTGTGCAAAAATGGCTATTTGGTCCCAAATGTCTTTTGTCATGTCCCATGCAAAAGGCATAGGAGACCCTGGAGACCTGGTTATCTCCCGGCTATGCTACTATTTGGCCGTGTGATCTTTCACAAGTCCCCTCACTCCTCTGGGTCTTTGTTCCCTTAAGCATAAAAGGAAGGAAGCAAAAATGAAGGTTTTCTATGGTTTTCAAACATTTTTATGGGAAAAAAATGTGTTTTTTAAAATAGAACATTTTACAAAAATGAAATAAAACAACACTTAAAATACAGATTAAAAGTGAACCATCTCTGGTTGGAGCACGCGTGGGCATTGTCCAGTTCTGGGTTATGCTGTTTTTCAGTCCTACCCCTGTGGTTGCACCCAACTGTCCCAGTTCTCTTTACCCCTGAACTTGATTCCACCCAGATGATTAAGGCATAAGCATCTAGAAGTTTTGAATTTTAAAAGCCCAGTTTGGGGCGGAGAAGGCAAAGTCTCTTTGTATTGCTTCTTTTAACCTTTTCCACATTTCTGGCCAGAGCCATTGAGTAGTAATAAACAAATATCCTCAGACTGGGTAATTCTCCTGGCAAGGTAATTCTCAGCCTTCTTACTCACCTTCAGATAATACATAGGCCGGGCCTCATAGGTCGTTCCTAGGAAATGCTGCGTTGCCACTTCCGGGTACTCCTCGATGATCTGGCTCATCCACCAGTAGATCTGAAACAGCCAGGGAGGGCTGTGGCTGTCAACAGGAAGATTGTTTGCCTGCCTCTGATTGAAATGACTGTTTCCTTCACTGAGACATTGAACTCTACACTCTTTGCTCTAGATTGCAACAGCTGCATGATAAACAAAACAGAAAACTAAACCAGTGAATTTATTACCTCCGGCCTCTCCTTTTCTTTAAAGATCTACTCTGCCACTAAGTCTTAGAACACCTTGTTGAACTTCACAAATAAGTTACCGAGAATTAACAATTTCAATAATCTGTCAGTAACACTTCTGAAACACTGTAGAACAACACATCCTTCAAATCACCACCAGACTTGGCTGTCATGTGGCACACAATCATGCCAGAAATTCCAGGTCAGGCTTATTTCTCAGGATCTTCTTCCGTCTTTGTGGATCCCAACAATATCCATTGCTAATGTCCGCGTTTCCAAGATTAGGGAAGACCTGGGTATTACCTCCCTGGAACATGCCAACAGAAGTTTCTAAATCAAGCCCCAGTTAATCATTTTGATTCAATGGAGTAGACCTGAATATGTGCTGATTTAATTACAAGTCTTACACCATGCTTAGAAAGTCTTATATCTTGACCTGGAAGTCCATAACTTGGGGTTCCATAAGGGTGAATGTAATCAGAGAATCCACAAACGTAAGGCATATTCAGACAGTCATCAGCCTCTCACAGGATACCTCTCATGTTCAATTTCTATATTTCTCAGAGTTGACATCTCTGAGTGACAACAACCAGGAGTTATGGCAAATAATAGTTAATTGGCGATAACAAATATCCTACTTGAAAATTTTTATTTCTCAATTGATATTTATCTTAGCATAGAGTATCTGTAGATAAAATGCATTACTAGAACAGTAATATTACTTAAGTGGGAATATTTTCAATTTAGTCTATTAACTGAAAGAATAATAGTTTATCACATGGGTGTCATGTGTGCATCTGTGATGGGACTAGGTTAGATGCAGATGCCTTAAATCTCGGGAGAGCTACAAATAGCAGCCTGTAGCAGCAGCAGCTGTTATTAGGTCATTAAATATGAAATGCCTGACTTTGAATCAAAAGTTTCATTTATTATATCTTAAACAAGAAGCAGTACAATTAATCAAAGTATATCCCTAAACTATGGACACAGTTTTGTCATCTTAATGGTAGCTTGCTTATGTCAACAGTGAAGAAGTCTGGAGAGTGAGTGGCAATGAAATCACAAAAGACATTATTTACAGTTTGTTGAGAATCGAATATTTGTCCTTGTAAGAAGTGGTCCTAAGTATGGAAGAAGTGGTAGTCAGTTGGTGCAAGTTTTGATGAATATGGTGGATGACAGAGAATGTCCAAGTCCAGCCTCTGTAGTTTGAGCATCATTGTTTGCGTGACATGTGGTTGAGCATTGTCTTGCAAGAGGATTGGTCTGTCTCTATTGATCAATCTCACCTGTTTAATTCCAGGTATCCTCATCATTTCATCCAATTGGTTGCAGTAGACATCCACTGTAATCTACTGACCAGATTTCATGAAGCTGTAGTGGATAATACCAGTGCTGGACCACTAAACAGACATCATTAGCTTTTTTGATGAATATTCAGTTTTGGTACTTTATCTTTATCCAATCATTGTTTTGAATGCTTGTGATTGTCAAAAAGAATCTATTTTTTTATTACACATAACAATAAGGTGTAGAAATGGTTTGCCTTTATGTCGTGACAGCAAAGAAAGGCAAGTTTCAAGAAATTTTTTTTGACGCTCATTTAATTTATGTGGTATCTATCTATCCAGCCTTTTTACCTTGTCGATTTGTTTTAAATGGTCTAATATTGTTGGAATAGTAACGTCAAATCTTGTTAATTTATGTGTAGGTTGAAATGGATTTGCTTCTGCTATAGATTTTAGCTCATTATTATTCACCTTGGACTCAGGTCACCCACGTGGTTCATTTTTAAGATTAAAATCACCAGAACAGATCTTTTCAAGCCATCGACATACTGTGTGTTGATTAGTCACATCTTTTTCAAACACTTTGTTGATATTTTGAGCTGTCTGCACCATTGGTTCTATGACAGAACTCATACTTGAAAGTAACACAAATTTTTGACTTATCTATGGTTTTACAAAAATTGCTTTTAAAAAACTTTGAAAGATAATCACAAGTCAAACCACGTGTTTGAAAGAATGAGGATATACCTTCACAATAAAAATAAAACAAGAAGTGTCAAAGTGAAATGTCAGAGAAATCAACTGTCAAACTCAGTACTTAAGGAAATCGGACATTTCCTATTTAATGACCTAATATTTATTGCTTAATCAGTATTGTAGTGGTATAGTTTATTTCATTTACCCCCACAACAATGCTGCAAAATAGATTCTACCATTCCTATGTTATGAAACTGAGGATCAAGGAGGTTAAATGTCTTGGTCAAAGTCACATAGCCAATAAGTGGCCAAGCCAGGTGTGAGCCCTTCTCTGATACCAGAGCATAAGGTTTCCATGGGCCATACTGGACCGTGTTCAAAATCATAGAACCTTCAGTACTTTGGGTGACTGTTACAGAAGAAAATATAAATTCTTTCTTGTATTCTTCGAAAAAAATTCTGGAAAATATCAATATATTCCCAAACGCTGAGAGAATAAATTGGTAAAGCCTGTTTGGAAGACGACTTGTGTGTTTATATCAGAAATTTATATGTGCACATCCTTTAGCCCAACAATTCTATTTTTAGAAATTTACATCTCAAAAAATACATAATGTCATACACACACATACACACACACACACATACATACAGCAGGTATTTTTTCACTGAATCTTGTTTTGGAAACCACCAAACTTAGTAGCAACACAGATATTTCTTTGATAAAACAGTTTTCTCTTATTAAGAACTGCTGCTCATGCCCCTTGCATCCTCCAAGAAATTCCAGCTAAATATGATTCAACAGAAGGCTTCTCCATTTCACATCTCACACCCATATAAACACCAACCCTGCCCTGCTTAAACCTGCAAACAAAAACAAGGGTTAATTAATTCTAGTTCATATTCATGCTAGCAAAACTTACTCATTGGGATGTTCTTGTCCTCCTTTTTCTTTTTGTTATTAATTTGCTTTATTTTTTTTGAGACTGAGTTTTGCACCATCATCCAGGCTAGAGTGCAATGGTGTCATCATAGCTTACTACAACCTAAAACTCCTGGGCTCAAGCAATCCTCCTGCCTCAGCCTCCAGAGTAACCGGGACTACAGGCGTGCACCACCAAGCCCAGTATATTTTTCTATTTTTTGTAGAAACAGGTCTCTCTATGTTGCCCAGGCTGGTCTTGAACTCCTGGCCTCAAGCAATCCTCCTGCCTCGGCCTCCCAAAGTGCTAGGATTATAAGCATGAGCCACCACACCTGGCAGTTTCCCTTTTTATTTCTTCTCACCAGGTTTTGCAGCTTCAGTGGTGGTGGTGGCTATGATGTTTGGGAATCCCTTGAACTCAGGGCACGGGCACATCCTAACACCCACATTTTAAGCCTCTCTAATCCATGGATACTAACAGCGAACCATCCCTTGCCCATCTTTAAGTAGGTTGTGACACCACCACCTGCCCCAGTGAGTCCTTGCTCACCTCCTCCATGGTGTGGTATGTGTTATAGGAATAGGTCTCCAGGCTCCTCCATGCACTCACTGTCTTGTCTACAATCTCTTGTCTGTGTTGTGCTAAGGATCTGCGAATGGAAGAAGGTAAGACAAAAGGCAGCGATGAAACTGGGATATCCTGAGGGCTAGAAGGTTGATGGAAAAGGTCGTAGAAATCAGCAAGCACAGGACTTGGAGGACAAAAGCCAGTGTTGGAGTGTTGGCCCCGTAACTTATGGATTGTGAGACCCTGGGTAGCTGTCGAGCCACTCTGAGTGGCAGTTACATCTGCAGGGTGAGGACAAGCATTCAAACCTTACAGCCTTACAAGGAGGCTAGGATAATTCCCTAAGAAGTGGAGGATAAAAATACTTTTAAATTTGTAAAAGAAATAATAACTAAGATTTGTTGAACCGAAACTTATTATGAGACAATGCACTGTTCTAAGCAATTTAAATTTCATTGACTTCTCTCTAAAACTCTGAGATAGACTCCCTTACTATTTCCATTTCAGAGATGAAGAAACTGAATCCCAGGGAAAGTGTTATTGGGATTTAAATTCTAATAGTCTGCAATATTAACCTCTGTACTGCATATAATGGTGAGATCTCATCTTTATGCAACGGTTTATCTTTTCAAAAAAATAAACTTTATATTTTAGAACAGTTTTAGGTTCACAGCAAAATTAAATGGAAAGTACAGACTGTTCCCATGAACCCCCTATTCTCACACACACAACCTCCCCTGCTATAGACATCCCACATCACACTGGTGCATTTGTTGCAAACAGTGAACCTACATTAACACATCATTATCCTTTTCCAAAGTCTATAGTTTACATTAGGGTTCACTCTTTGTACATTCCAAGGGTTCTGACAAATGTTTGATGACACATACCCACCTTTATAGTATAATATAGGATAGTTTTAATGACCTAAAAGTCCTCTGTACTGTGCATATACTGGTCTTTTACTGTTTCCATAGTTTGTCCTTTTCAGAATACAATATAATTGGAAACACACAGTGTGTAGCCTTTTCAGATTGGCTTCTTCTACTTAATAATACGCATTTAAGTTTCTTCCCTGTCTTTCCATAGCTTAATAAACTCATCTCTTTATTTATATATTCCATTGTCTGGATATACCACAGTTTATCCATTCATCTACTGAAGGACATCTTGGTTGCTTCCAAGTTTTGGCAATTATGAATAAAGCTTCTATAAACATCCCTGTACAAG